GAAATGCTTTAAGGAGGTTTTTACGCTCTTAGCACAAGGATAAAATGGGATTTCATAGTCTGAAAATTCTACTTTCCCTACAAGAACAATGCATGAGTGTGGAGCTCCTGTCTCTGGGGCAGAAGCACAGAACCATACAATCAACCAGGGTGGGAAAGACCTCCAAGTCCAACCGTTCCCAGCACTGCCAAGGCCACCACTAACCCACAGCACTGAGGGTGTGTGAACACTTGCAGGGACGGTGACTGCAGCACTTCCAATGCCTGAGCACCCTTTGGGACAGGAATTGTTCCTCAGCTCCATCTAAACCTGCCCTGGTGCAGCTTGAGGCCGTTTCCTCTTGTCCCATCCCTTGTTCCTTGGGAGCAGACCTGTCTCCATCCTCCTGTCAGGCAGTTGTAGGGAGCCATCAGGTCCCCCCTGAGCCTTCTCTTCTCCACACTGACCCCCCCAGGTCCCCCAGCCGTTCCCCATCACACCTGGGCTCCATTGCCCTTCTCTGGCCCCGCTCCAGCACCTCAATGTCTCTCTTGCAGTGAGGACCCCAGAGCTGAACACAGGATTTGAGGTGCAGCCTCACCAGTGCCCAGTACAGGGGGACAATCACTGCCCTGGTCCTGCTGGTTATGCTGTTTCTGATCCAGGCCAGGATGCTGTTGGCTTCTTGGCTGCCAGGGCACAAACTGCTGCCATTAAACCCTGCCATGAAATTCAGATGCTGCTTTTTTAACCTCTGTCCCCATTTCATCTACAAAAAGGGGTAATTACAATTTCCTTAACTTTACTTGGATATCTCTGAGACTCCCAACCCTAGCGAGCCATGTTCCATCTCCCATGACCTTGAACACCACCACGGATGGATTTCCTGCCTCCCCTTCCAGCGTCACCCCCAGTGTCATACAAAATCCCAGCAGTGAAGACAAACAGAAGACAGCTCTGTTTCAGAAACCCATGCAGACATTCCACAAGGATAACACCTTTATCTCCAGGCTTTCCTTTTTCTCTCCCTCCCAGACCCTCTTATCTCCGCTAGAAAACGTTCTCCCTCCATGCAGGTGAGCTATCACAAAATCCCTTTTTTAGTCAACCTGACAAAGAAAAACAGAAGGCACCTACAGGGATTTTAATTAGAACTTGGCATGCTACACATACCCAAGTAGGGAAATCCTTCTGCCCCCCACCTCCAGTTTGCTGCTTAAATGACACCTCTGTGCTCGGAAGCCATCCTTTGAAATCCTTAATTCTCTGGTAACTTTTGAAGCAGCAGCAGAATAAACCCATGGAAATCTTTTGTAAGGGAGGAAAACAAAAAACCTCCCAGTGCCCTTATCTGCGCCAGCACCTGCAGAAAGCCACCCACTGCATTTCACCCCACCGCATCCCATTGCCGGAGAGAGCCACATCTGCTTCACAGCTCAGCCTCAGACTGCTTCTGCAAGACTGGGTGAAGAGGTGATTCAGAGCAGCCTGAGGAGAAGGACTTGGGGGTGGTGGGTGATGAGATGCTCCTCATGACCCAGCTTCAGTGTGCGCTTGAGACCAGACCCCCCCCCCCCCAAGTGCTGGGCTGCACCCCCAGAGAGTGAGCTGCATGTCAAAGCAGCTCTGCCCCTCTGCTCTCATGAGTCCCCACTTGCAGCACTGAGTGCAGCTCTGGTGTCCTCAGCATCAGAAGGACACGGAGCTGTTGGAGTGAGGGCAGAGGAGGCTATGAGGATGCTCAGGGGCTGGAGCACCTCCTGTATGGAGCCAGGCTGAGAACACTGGGGCTGTTCAGCCTGGAGAAGAGAAGCTGCGTGGAGACCTCAGAGCAGCTTCCAGTGTGTGAAGGGGGCTACAAGGATGCTGGGGAGGGACTCTGCATCAGGGACTGTAGCGATAGGACAAGGGGTGATGTGTTCAAACTGAAACAGGGGAAGTTCAGGTTGGAGATAAGGAAGAAGTTATTTACAGTGAGGGTACTGAGGCGCTGGCACAGGGTGCCCAGAGAAGCTGTGGCTGCCCCATCCCTGGCAGTGTTCAAGGCCAGGTTGGAAGAAGCCTTGGGTGACATGGTCTAGCGTGAGGCATCCCTGCCTGTGGCCGGGGGCTGGAACTGGACGATCTTAAGCTCCTCTCCAACCCAAACCAGTCTGATTCTATGATTCCTCGCACTGCAGTGATTGAATAAATACAGCAAAGGCACACACAGCTTCCAGCTTGCAGGGTGTTTAGAAGAAAGGCTTTGACTTCATTTAAACAACAAAAGGCAACATCCACTCAAGACAGTCATGAAGTTAAGGAGAGCAGACAACACAGCCCAGTGAATCAGTGAAGTATAACACACCCCAGAACTGCAAGAGCTTTGGGCTCCAAAGCACGCACACCTACTTAGCTGTGGGCTGAACTCTGCGCCAGCAACACGAGAAGGATGTGCTGTAGAACACCAGGGGATGTGCACAAAAAGGCACAGAGCTTTCTTAATTTACACAAGGAGTTAACTTCCAACACCCTGCAAGTGCAGGCAAGCCCCAAGTGAAGATCCACGTGCGAGAACACAGGGCAGGAGCAGCTGTATGACCCCAGATGTGCCCTACTTTTCAGCTGACAGCTTCTTTGCCCCCTTGCAGCATCTCGGGCTGCAGGCAGACTCTTGCAGTAGTTAGTTCACTGTCTTGGTCTCTTCCTCCTCTTTCTTTCCACGTCAGGCCACTCAGGCTCAGTAGTGATGCGGTCTGGCTGAACAGTGTCACCAAAACACCCACTTCCATCAAAAGCATCATCAGAGCATGCGGCCATGGAAGGAGCAAAAAGCAGTAACCCCAAAACAGCAAAGAAACACAACACTGGGTGAAGAATAACCCAAAAGGACCCAAAACCAGGGAACAGACGGGAATTAAGGCTTTTAAAAGTTAATAACAGAAGGGTTGTTCCCTGTTTGCTCCCTACAAGAACAGTGCATCATCATGTACTCTGCATGCTTGCTTGCAGAAGGGCTCAGAGGTCATAATCAGCCTTTTGCTGGAAAATGCTCCTGATGGGGCTTTATCCCAACTGAATAGTGTTAATTGTGTACAGCAGCAGCAGCAATTGCTGTCAGCACCATTTTCTCTTCCTCCCCTTTGGTTTTCAATGCTAGCAGCAGCCAGTCCTTAGCATCCCGAAACGAAAAGTACGCCTCTTGTTCCCGTTTCCCAGCCTCCACCCCAAACACAGGGGGAATAATGACACTTGCAAAGGACGGCCACCGAGAATGGACTGGGGATTCTGGCCTCGTAGTAGCATCCACATCAGGATAAAGGCTTCTACTACAGATAGCAGCTATTAAAAAGCCTCTGTAGTGTTCAGAGGCCCAGCTTGAATCCCCACGCAGTCCTGCCTGTCAGTTGACCTGCTCTGAATTATAGCTGCCCCCCTCTCTCAACCGAGATAAGACTTTTTATCTTGCCAACCCTTAGAATCCTCTGCTGATAGGCACATGCCTGCCCTTTCACTGCAGTCAAATTAAGTTTTCAGCTCTTTTTCTATGCTATAGACATTTCCATATCACCCAGCAGTAGAGGCACTGCTCAGACAACAGACAAGCAAAGAGCAGGTGCCATTAAGTCTTAACATACAGAAGGGCACCAGAAAGGCCTCTTTTTGGCAAATAGGATGTTCCTCCCCTGTGGGTTTCAACAAGCATCGTGCTTCGTATTTCTGCCCAAGCAAAAGGCAAGCCACACTGACCACAACTGAAACTGTGGCTGGAAAAGGGGAAAACATTCACCTTCATGAAAGTACCAGCAGCAAATAACTAACGCTCCATTAAACAGGGACATCAACACTGACACTGCACTGCTCGGAGCTGCTTTGACTCGTCTCAACTTAAAGGCTTTGTTTCTTAGGGAGATCTATCAGTTGAACCCTCAGTAACTCCACACATTCCCCATGGTTTTAGCAGCCTGGTAACTGAGATGAATGAAGCACCCCCATATCCTCAGTCCTTTGAGTAAAGAAAGCTGGTTAAGGGGTTGGAACCGGATGATCTTTAGGTCCCTTCCAACCTAAACCATTCTATGATCCTATGCTCAAACCCCACTGACACTAGACATGGAAAACTCATACCAAGATCAATGCTCTGATTAATCCTTCTTACACTTCCCAGCACCAACCAGTGCACTGTAAGGCAGTTAGAAAGTCATCTTCACTGACCTTTGGCCCCTCAGATGAAGTAATACACATTAGGAACTACTGAACCCTCACCATTCACTAACTGCCTTTCATCTTCAGCTCGTTTCAAGGCAGAACAAGCTCTTGTCCCAACCTGCTCAGCACATTCAGCCAAACCTCCTCTGTATTTCTCTGTGATGCCTTCTTCCTCAGTATTTGGGATTCAGAGGAGTGCAAAGAGCCAAGCACAGTTATTCCAAAAAGCTTTGAATGTGTTTCAGGGAGAGAGAAGGGCAGCTCTGCTGCACTGCCTCCAGCACAGCAAACCCTGCTGACCTGCACCTCCTTCTGCTCTCCTCCATAGCAGCATCAGCCATGGATACATGGATGCTTGGAGATGCCAACTACCCCGCAGGGACACAATAGGGCTGTGGAAGGAGAGGAGAACAGCCTCTCTGCTTGCTACTTGGCTTTTGTTGCCATACTGCACCTATCAACACAACCTCAGTTTCCATGAGAGCAATCCCACCAACACGTGAAGTCCCACTCGCTGCAGTCTCACCAGTTCTTCTCAAGAAGGGCCAAAGAGACTTTCAGAGCTCACTTTAAGGTAAAAGATCAACTCTGAGAGATGGGCGAGAACATAGCCTACTGTGAACTATCCCTGCCCATGGCAGGGGCTTGGAACTGGATGATCTCAAGGTCCTTTCCAACCCAAATCAGTCTGGGATTCCATGATTAGCATTAAAATCCTGCAGCCCCTCCAGAACTCATGTTTTTTTTTGTGCATAGAACTTAAAATACATATATTTCACCTACAAACAGCGTTTGGAGATACAGGGATGCTTTTCACCCCCGGAGGTGCTCACTTGTCTGCATGGGCTCCAGCGGAAGACACAGTCACCTGTCTTCAACTGCACAAGCTGGGGTAGATGTGTCCTACCAGGGAGGTGGTTTCTAACTCTGCTCATCTGCTCCAGTGAGTGGAACATCATTAGGAGAAACTTCAGGACTCTACAGAAGAAACAAGGTCGCTTAAGTTCCTTGGCTCAAATGAAGACAGCATTTGGAGGGGGAGCAGAAACCAACCCACCAGTCCTAATTTTAAACAGAACCATCAGGTCACAACCATCTCTAACCTCCATTTGGGTTGGGGAGGCTGTTTTGGTTTGGCTTTATAAAACCAGTCTGAAAAGCTTCGCATTTAGGGTCTCAACAGCTGAATCGGGTGCATTCCAAACACAGTAGCCTTAGAGATAAGCAAAGCTTTGCAGAACTTGTGCGCATGAAGTTATTGCCAACACAGCTGCTACGCTGTCAAATGCGGTTATCGGGGGACACAAACCAGCTCATTCTTTGCCTTGAATCCTGTCCTTCATCCTCACTGTGAAATCCAAGCGCTGTCTACTCCTCACAGCGATGTGTTCTGCTGTTCAATAGTCTGTTTGCACTTACAAGGCAGGTTAGTCAAATGCCCCCACCGTTTGCAGCAAAGAACCAATAATTGCCATCATTTGTGTCTCTTCTTTACTCTGTATTCCCATATTTACTGCCAGGCTAAAAACATGGGTCAGTTTTGCTCCCATCTGACAGAAAGGCAAATTATGGATGTACAGGAAGGCTTGTTACTCCTGCACTTTCCTCAAGAGCCCAACCAGAATGCTGCTTTCCTTTAGACACATCTCTGGCTGCTGTCAGATGCTCCATGAGCCCCATTTATACACGGGCCTCCTCGTGAATTTGAGTCAAAATACAGCCCCAGAACACAATGAGGACTCTAAAAGACCTAAAATGACATCCCTGCCATTGGTGACAGGGCAGCTACAAGGCAGCAGCTTCACCACTCAGGGTAGGAAGCACAGCAGGGAGTTGTTTAGCAGCAACAGAGATGCCTTTGAGGAAGCATTACCTCATTCGCCTCCTCCACATCCATTCCCAATTGGAATGAGGATATAAAAGCCACACTATTCAGAAAAGACGAGAGGCAAATGAAGGCGCACAGCACAGGGAAAGCAGGGAGACAGAAGGACCTGCTTTCCCCAGCCAGCTCTGTCCCCCATCGAAAAGCTAGAGCCTAGAATTAAGAAAATATGAAACAATAACCACCAAAATTGCCCCACTAATTTAAGAGAGGGTAGAAAAACCCCACACAGAACAACTCATAGCAGAGAGAAGGCATTTTAGGGCACCTTAGAAACAGAGAGATGCTTTTTAAAGCACACAAGGGCCACAGAGGCTTCCTCTTCCCCTCTCCCCCACACCTAATGTCTCTCAGTTGGGCACGCTGGAAACATCTAAGCCTCAGAATCTAATGAAACAATTGTCTTAAAGAACAAATTTGTTCTTTTGCTTTATTAAAATCAGAAGGCAGAAGGGGGAGGGTTTGAAACAGATTCTGAAATGGGAAAGCAAACCAATATTGGCTCCCAACCAGTCCTCCTGGTAGCACACTTTTCCTGCACTACATAAGCAGGTTCTAGCTCCTCCACAGGTAGAACCATAGAATGGTTTGTGTTGGAAGGGACCTTCAAAGCTCACCTAGTCCAACCCCCTGCAATGAGCAGGGACATCCTCAACTGGACCAGGTTGTGCAGAACCACAGCCTTGAACGTCTCCAGGGACATCCCCAGCACCACTGAGTGGAAGACAGACCCATCCTGAATCTTCTGCCCCACCGAACCCACGAGGTCTCCATCGTTCTGGGACTCCAAACTTCAAGAGCAATATCACACTCACAGCAGCACCAAAAACCCTGGTACATACTTGCACAGGATACACCATCTCAGCAGCAACTCACTCAAAAGCCTTGGACTAACAAATTCACACCATCACAGAATCATAGATTAGATCATCCAGTTCCAACCCCCCTGCCATGGCCAGGGACATCTCACACTAAACCATGGCACCCAAGGCTCCATCCGACCCGGCCTTGAACACCACCAGGGATGGAGCATTCACAACTTCCTTGGGCAACCCATCCCAGTGCCTCAGAACCTTCACAGTGAACTTCTTCCTTATATCTAACCTAAACTTCCCCTGTTTAAGAGGTCCACATAGATGTGAGTTTGTAACAGTCCTGACAGAAGGCAAACCCACAGCTCTAAAATGGACTTTTCTGGATCTCAGGTAAAAGACCTGCAGAGACAAGCATAGCCCACGAAAACAAAAATCACCTAAGCCACAAAGAGGAGGAAGAAATGGAAGGAAAGAGCATCTTGCATATTACTCGCAATAACTGAAAAGCAATCGTTACTAACACATGGCACTCAAATGTGTAAACCCTGTTAAACTACTTCACTGTAGTCTCCAGTTACTGACAGGAATGATTCCTTGTTAACTGATATTAATTGTGCAGCTCTGGTGTCCTCAACATCGGAAGGACATGGAGCTGTTGGAGCAAGGCCAGAAGGCCACGAGGATGAGCAGGGGCTGGAGCACCTCCTGTATGGAGCCAGGGTGAGAACATTGGGGCTGTTCAGCCTGGAGAAGAGAAGCTGTGTGGAGATCTCAGAGCAGCTTCCAGTGTGTGAAGGGGGCTACAAGGATGCTGGAGAGGGGCTCTGCATCAGGGACTGTAGGGATAGGACAAGGGGTGATGGGTTCAAACTGGAACAGGGGAAGCTCAGGATGGAGATAAGAAGTTATTTACTGTGAGAGTGCTGAGGCACTGGCACAGGTTGCCCAGAGAAGCTGTCAGTGTTCAAGGCCAGGTTGGACAGGGCTTGGAGCAAGCTGCTGTAGTGTGAGGTGTCCCTGCCTGTGGCCAGGAGCTAGAACTGGATGATCTTAAGGCCCTTTCCAACGCAAACCAGTCTGGGATTCTCTGATTCCATGACAAGGTGCCCTAACTCAAAGACAGCAGTGAGAAACTCTCAGCAACAGGAGGATGCTGAAAGCACGTGTACCCATAACACAGCCCTGCTGTTCACATCCCCACTTGTGCCTGTGTGTGTGCTGCAATTACCTTGTTTCTATGTATAAATATAAACAAAACGTAGGATTCACTGTGGGCACAACCAACATTTATAGAAGTTGAGCTTGCATTTAGCAACCCTGATCTGCAATTAGCGCATCCTGGTGGCCTACACAGAAACCACATTCACACATTCCAGACACAAACCTGCTCTCAAAGCAGCCCATAATGACAACAAATTGCTAGATCACAAAATCCCAGCTTCCACCTCTCATACTTCGTGAATTTAAAGCTGAGCTATAATGAAAAGAAGGAACAAGTTAGTATTCACCTCACAGAGCTGTATTTACTCATCTAAGCAGTTGAGGTGTAGTTAGCATCCTTCCTACCATTTAAAATGGTACAAATGAGGGAGACGGGGGGAAGAAAGATGCTCTAAAACACCTCCTTGGGGGAAAACAGTCAATATATACAAACACAAATTCCTCCTTCATTGATTCACCTGAGAATCAGAGTTTACTTCATTTCCAGACACCCACATCCAAGCCGTGAATCAGTGTGTTTTCTGGCTGAAAGCCAGCGCTGCAGTTCTAGTTTCTGTGACAATATTGATGCCTCAGCGCTCCATAGGCTTACATATAAAGGGATTCATTCAAAAAGAAACAAGCAATTTGGAGGGGTTGGGAAGTGGAAGTCTGGGCAAGGCCATTATAGAAGAGATTGCTCAAAAAACACTCCTGTAGAAGCCAGCTTGCTGAAAACACAACCAGGAAGCAGGGAATCCATCACAGGAGCTATTTCTGCCACAGGACACGGCACAACTTCCCGAGTGCCTCTCTCGGTTGCAGAACTTCATTTCTGGAGGCTTCCCCTTCCATCTCTTCTAATGGCAGCTAATGCAGAGGAAAAGGTCATTTTCTGTTTGATTATTTTTGCTTGAACATCTGTTTGCTTCTCTCTGAAAGAATGCACTGCTGTCCATATCCATCCTGACCCAGCTTTGCTCCAGTTTCAACTGTTTCCAAGCTGAAAATCCTCACCATCACAGGAAGCAAAGGGAGCGCTCTTGGCCATGGGCAAACACTTCTGTCTCCTTTGGCATGTTCTCAACGGACCACTAAACAACAGCACAAAGACTAATGGATCAGAATTTCCTGTTAGCATGGCACCTAAGCGACAGGAACACTCGTTCCCCTGAGAACACACTGAGCTGGGACCCGCAGGAGCAGGAACACCTCCTTGTGCTATGCACTGCTCAGCTCCAGTGTATTCCTTTGGCAATTCATTTCCATGATGACAATAACCACCACTTAGATGCCAGAAGATTGCTTGTTTGCCATCTAATTGGGTTCAGACAGTTGCACTGTCATTTGTGCTCCTTAGAAAGGACTCTGCACTTACTTCATTGGGACTGCACGAATCAGCGCTACCCACGATCCCTCAGCAAGCCCCAAACGTATTCCCCCTCCCAAACCATTCATAATAGAAGTCAATACCTTACCCTCAACACATTTGCTTTTCTCTCTGGGGAAGGCACTTGTGCTGCTAAGGACTTTACTGCAGAGTGCCTCTTTGCATTACAGCCTCAGTTTTGGAGCAGAGAAACATCTGGCCCTCAGCAGAAGCCTAATAAAGGACTGGTGAGTGGGCTTTTCCTCTCAAAACCAAAAGAGACATAAAATGTACACTAACTGATGCAATTGCCGTTCATTCAGTGAAATGCTGGTTCATTTAGTCAGGCTGAAAACCTGCCCAAAACCATTAAATAGCTTCCTGTAAGCTTCTGGAGTCCTGTTACCATCTCCAGAATCTGTCCTCAACACCCACAGCAACCGCACTGCAGGAAAACCATGCTTTAAGAACCCTAACAATGAGCACTAATCTCCATCTTTTCTGTTTTAAAGCTTCAGAGCTTGAAAAGTACTTCCTCCTACCAAAACCAGTCAATGACATCAGAGACACCCTTGAAGGCCCTGGTAACAGAAAGCACCAGATCTAAGTGCGAGTACATGCCTCCAGAAAAGCCTCATAATCCCAAGCTTTTTAGTATCTCTGCTAGATTTAAAGATTAATGCTTTACATAATTCAATAGATGGTATTT